TAAAGGCCCTTCCTTTATATTTTATCTTTAAAAGATGCGATCAATTGGGGGTTAAGCAATTGATATGCTAATTTAAACTGAGGCTACGGTTGTTTGTATTTGGCACTGCATCAGTTTGGGTAATTAGAGGAAAAGATGAGGGCAGTGGTCACTATCTCTGCTATTAGACTGTTATTTGCCTGCATGTTGTTCTTTTGACACTGCAACATGTCAGTCAGGGCTAGAAGGTTAGAAGCTACAACGATGATGTCATGTTGTGCTACATCTATGCCACTCAGAGATACTGAGTTCCTCTCTAATGGAACCACATCAATCACAGGATTAGCTCTGTGGTAACTTTTCACCCTGTAGTGATTTCACTACTAAGATCTGACCCTCCTCGCCACGTTTCCAACTGACCTTTGTGTGGAAGGGAAAGATGACTATCTCAGTGAGTAAATGGTTTCGCCCCATACAAACGGTGCTTCTTTGTTAGTCAGTTCACATAAAGACAGAAAGAAAAGGATGTCTTAGTATGCATGTTGTAACACGATGTAATACTGATTTCAAATTGGAAAAGGCCTGTCTTTATTACTTCAATATTAGCTGGGCGTGTGAAGCATAAGTATTAGCTTGGGGTGCCACAGCTAATAATGTCTCCACAGTATATGTACTAGATCTAAAAGCTCAATCTATCAACTGCATAAGTGTAGAAGATACAAAACTATACAGCTATGTAGTATTGTCAAAGAGTTGCACCATATTAGTTTAACACTACTTAAGCCTCCATGTCTGTAAAACTTTTCAGTCTTAGCTCAAAGCTATGTACATAAATATTTAAACACTCTCAATGGCTGGGGAATGCAAAGAAAAAAGAGATGGATCCAGTCCGGCTATTGATGATGAGGCTTCACAAAACACAAACATTAGCCGATCACACCATCATATGTAAACCACCTTCATAAGCATCATATTAAACTTGATGTATAAAGGTAAATTCCCAGTCCAAAATCCTATTATAACATCGATTACCAGAAGACAAACAATGCCTAAAGCAACACAAGTATTTTCCCACTTCTAACTTTCCAGACTGACACTGAACCTCACTATGTGGGTTTTGCAATATTAATAACACCATTTCCGAGGTAGTTCTCACCTGTCTCAATAAGTTCTTATGTTTTTGTCTCGCTAGCTAGGATTGAAATTAAAATGCAGAATTTAAAAAACAAAAGAAAAGAAAAAAACAAACAAAAAAAAACAATAGATAGATTTAACTGGCACCAAATAAAGAATAAAATAAAATAAAATAAATGAAAAATGGAAAAAAATATTATCATTACAAAAGTAGGTAATTATTTTCAAAAGACTATTGCTATGACAACAACATTATTATTGTTGTTATTATTATTATTATTATTAGGTTATATTTACCTCTTGATTAGTATCTTAACCTACTATTTTATTTTAAGTACGCTCACTAAAAGTTGCTGGTACTTTTAGGAAGGCGCAGGGCTTTTTGCCAAAGATATAATGCATATAATTTTATAATGGAAGGATAGGTACTTAAAATGGACAGACCCGTACATCCAATATTACCTTGCAAATGGACGTGAGGCAACATTAGCTTTTAACATTGCAGTTGATTTACATTTATTATAGCTCCACTTTGATTCAGAAAATACAGTGGAGGGTGAGCTATAAAGAGAATGATGACCTGTAAGTTTGTAAGTGAGAAGCCATTAATCAAACTGACCTATAATGTTTAGTTTTAATTTCAAAATACAATAAGTTCTTTATCTGCTTTGGACTTAAAGAACTTAGAAAAAATAAAAAAGTTATTTTTATGTACACTGTGAATATTACAGATCTGGATTACTGTAGGTGTGACAGTACGCAAATTTTCTACAAAACTGAGCTCAGATGAATGCAGCCCCAAACCAACTCTGCCACATATATTGCGGTTAGACAGAGTTAATGGTGGTGAACAATCACTGCTAAATGATTTGAGAAATGCAGAATTTTAATATTATTTAACGCGACTCATTCTTGCGCATTTGTATGGCAGAAAACAAAAAGACAGATGGAAGTTTGACTGTCCTCAACTTGCTAGTAATGCATGCAGCATGAAAAAACAAGACAGGTGGGATGCGACTAGTCGAACAAGCAACTACTCGAACACGGAGACTAGATTTGTAGTTGCAGCCAGGGTCTTCTTGCTGTGTGGTACTGTTCCATTATTGTGGCAAAATAATGGAATCAGTAAACATGTAAATAGAAAATGCATCGATATTATGGCAGTTAATATAATTACGAACCAAGAAGCATAGTTAGCTCAAGTACTTTTACTAGTTGTGCTGATTCAAATTGATCTTTCACAGTTTATCATCATGAATTGGAGCACACCTGTAGGTTTCCATGCTCCCTTTTCTGTTCCATCATAAACGTATGCATGATTCTATGAACAACATTCAATCGTCCGTACGCAACAAATCTGATTTAAGACAGCAATTTCATTAGACACACATTTTCCACAGGACAACGTAGAGCTCAGACCTTCATGCTTCATCATCAGCTTCAGTACTTCTAATTATTGCAGTTCTCCTTAACAAACACTGCTCACTGGGTGAAAAAGGGTTATTTTTAAGAAAGAAAATGCTGAGCATACTAAGTATACTAAGGATAGACAGATAGGCAACCAAATAGGATGCCCTAACAAAAGGGGCGAGGCGAGCACAGAGAGGCTTTAAGACTATGACAAAGACGAGTGCCGGGAGACATGACAGGGGTAAAGATGAATATGCCTCTGGCAGTTGAGTCCTGATTACTTTCTTACTGTTATGGCCTCACGTGTTCCAAGGCAATTTGGCTATATGGCTGAGCATAAAACAGCACAGTGAGCATATCACTGGTGTGGTTAATGCTTGCAACCTGCTTCCATCACAGCATATCAGAAGAGCTGTGTCCAAATTATTTGAAAGTGATGATTCTACTGAGGTTTTGTGCATGTACAATGTTTTTTTTTCCACAAAGAAAAAGACAAATCAAATTTACAGTAGATGTCAGCACATGTTGAACATGCTCATAGGGCATGACGACAAAATTCCACTGGGAATTCATTAAACAACAGTAACAGAGCAGCAACAAAATAAGAGGATACCTATAAATTCTGAATGATTTTGAGACACATTAACAAACAAAATAAAAACTCGGCGTTTATAAGACAGGTCTTGTTTTTGTTTTCCTGGAAAGGCTAAAAAGTCAATATTTTGTACATCCCACAATGTTAGTACCTTCTCAAATTTCTATATTGCTCTGCCCCACTGTCTTTTGCTCCCAAAACAAAAACAGGCCACAAAAAGCAATAAAAATAGCACAAAACCAGTTTGTGTCATAAAGAAACATTTTCCTAAAACAGCTGGACACTGTAGGTTTTACCAGATTCTACTCAAACCGGTGTAAGATGTTGTTAGGAACTATTTTAAAATGCGGATTAGTAAATTTGTTGATCCAGTGGAAAGTAGGGTTCTACAGAATTATCCAAAATAAAAAGCACTGAAACTATTATAAGATATATCAATATAGCAAATGTTATACTTTTACATTTATAAAAGTATACGTCCAAACTAAGTGACATTACTGTCGTTAAAACATGGAAATGTCAGTAAAGGTGATGAGCTGGGAAATGGTGAGTGCCAGTCAAACAGGTCAAAAGAGAAGACACATGGATGAACCATGAGAATGCCTGATTTAGTGGTGAATGTTATGTCATTAGTGGTAGCACACCATGATAATATGAACTGTCCATTTATTTCTTATATAATCTAAGTGAGACGTGGCGGGGTCAAATAAGGGACAGAGGTAGAAGAGTTATGATCATTAAGATTACATAAACTATTATTAACCAAGCATGGCTTTTAAGGCTGCATCTCACTCTTTCTTGAGGACAGCTCCCCTGTGCTCCCCAGGGTTTTGCATCATTTTCTGAAATTGTGTTTATTCCTTTTCTCTTTATCATGCTCCTGTTTTTGCTAACTTTCACTTTCCTTTCTCTCACCGACTCACACACGCATGCATACACACGCCATTCAGTTTTAGAGAGCAATGTAGGCAGAAATGCCCATGCTTTGGATCATGCTGAGGAAGCAGGAATTAATTCCAATCAGGCTTGAACAGGAAAGAGCCATTCCATTTTGCACCACTCCTGGAGTCACTCAAACAAGAAGCACCCCTGCCTCTACTGCATATGCATGATCACACACACACAAACACACGGACGCATATACCCATATCGCACAAACCCTTTGGAGTAAATATGGTGATATTGCTTAGCAGCTAAACAAAATTTTGTCTATTGAATATCAGCTGTCTTTGACATTAATACCACGCTAATGAAGCCCTTGACACCCTCATTCACCTGTCTTTTCCATTTTGCAAATAGTTTGAAGCAGCCATGGATTGCTGCTAATATACTCGGTCACAATAAAAACACGTTAGGATTTAAAGTATTGTAGTGTCATTTTTACTGACAGTGTACTCTCTCCATTAACCGCACTCCTGGAGCACCGTTCCTATGTTGCTCTTTCCCTCTTGTTCTTCCTTTTATCATTTGCCTCAAAACAGTGTTAGAACACAGCTTATCTGGGAGTAATGCAATTTGTTTGCCTCTACTTTCTTTATATGCCTGCACTGTTTCTTTCATTTTCTACTTCCTACTATCGAGAGTAAATTCAGTGACTCCAAATCCATTTTCATTTAACATAGCTATCTTACATGTCTGCTTTTTCATATATCCATCTCTCTTGTGGAGGAGAATTTTAACATATTACTCTTTCTGGCACTTTACGCCTTTCCTTGAGCCCATAAAAAAAGCTCACACACCCTACTTATGTATCATGAAAATAGCTGCAGTAAAACTTGCAATTCCATACATTACATGCACCCTTGGGCTTTGCTATGTACAGAGCCTCAAACAGTTATCCAAATGGTTCTTGTCTGACTGCGCTAGACATTTTCCAGCTTACCTATGGGTGACAACTCTGCCACGCTGCCAATATAGGGTCCTTCCAAGAACTTGGGTTCACTGTCATTGATGTCCTGGACCTTGATGACAAACTCTGACTCTGGCTCAAGGGGATCATTAGAGAGCCGGTCCCGGGCCTGAGCCCTAAGAGTGTAAAAAGCCTTTTCCTCTCGGTCTAGTCTCTCTGTGGCATGTATGTCTCCTGTAAGCTCATCAATGATGAAGATGGATCCAGCTCCTTCTCCAGAGATAGTATATTTGATGTTGCCCTCACCATCATCAGAGTCTGTATGGATCTGTAAAAGAAAACAGAGCAGTTTTGAGAATGATGACTTCAATAAAACACACACATGCATTCCATCTTTTACGACTATGCAATGTGGTACGTACCATAAAATTTCTAAAAAATGTTTTGTTAGTGTCATGATCAAGTTGCATATTGATGATGGTAAATGGTAAATGGCCTGTATTTGTATAGCGCTTTATTAGTCCCTAAGGACCCCAAAGCGCTTTACACAACCAGTCATCCACCCATTCACACACAGGTGATGGCAAGCTACAGTGTAGCCACAGCCACCCTGGGGCGCACTGATAGAGGCGAGGCTGCCGGACACTGGCGCCACCGGGCCCTCTAACCACCACCAGTAGGCAACGGGTGAAGTGTCTTGCCCAAGGACACACCGACCAAGACTGTCCAAGCCGGGGCTCGAACCGGCAACCTTCCGATTACAAGGCGAACTCCCAACTCTTGAGCCACGATCGACAATAATTCATTGAATCAATGTTTATTTTGTTTTCTCCATAACAACTAGTTATATTATCAAAAGTATAGTTTTCTATTAAGGTTCTATTAAGGTTTGGGCACTAATAGTCATTGTTAGTACCCAAACCTGAATGATTTGGGTACCATTCAATGTTAGCTGAATGCTTATAAAAGTCATAATTTGTTTAAAACACAAAAACTGATTAACTTTTTAATATGTAAATATTACATTTATTTATATATTAAAAACTCTGAGTTGAAAAGAAATCCACTTTAATGTAATGAACTTGCTACTGCTGTTGTTTTCCTTTTATTAGCTATTACTTTACGAGTGTTGTATTAATTTATTCAGATTGCAATCAAGTACTGTTTTGTTGGAGTGTATTTGAACGCAGGCTAATTCAAACCTTTCTACTTTAACTGAACATTTTGATACAGACAACAAAGCTATCTGTGAACCTCAGGCAAAATCTGCTCACCCCGTCCTAGCAGTCTGACGATCTGGGCCAACCAAATCAAACTGCAAAACTGTGCTTGAACCACGACAGGGATTACAGTCCTGTTTAAGCACTTGTTATCACATGGCTGACACACCACACTCGATGACACCTCAAAGTATTAGAAACTGTTGAAAGTTTAGAAAAAATATCTGAAGTGATCCTTGTCCAAGTTGAGATTATTCTGTCACATATTTGCCAGTTATCTTATTTTTATGATTTTGTTTTAACTGCTGAGAAAAGGGTTAAAAATGGACAACCCCCAAATGATATTTGGTCATCAACCATGACCATAAGAAATATGTGTATTTTATTCATCCATTGACTTTTCTTCTCTTAGGGTGGTAAATCCAATTCAAGTCCTTCTAACTACTCCCTGCAGACTAGCCATCATCAGTGTGGTGAAAAAAAAAAGACACCAGAGTTCCTGTGATGATTTACACCTTTTCTGCACATTGTGCCCTTCACAGGATGTGACGCCCAAATTAGGAGATCAAAGTCATTCAAAGACTCTTAAATGTAGAGACATGGAGGTGCTGTGGCTGAAAAGTGAACTTAAAAGAGCCCTTATAAATCAGAGCTATAGTTTCCCCTAATGTGATTAGAAGACATTCCAGGGGTAGCAATAGGAGATGCATTGGTCCCCCATCCTAAACTCCCCTTTGGCTCTTTAGTGAGCATTAGACCTGCTTGCTCCTGCTCCCTCTCCCTCTCACTCACCTTCTATCTAAAATTATAATTCAGAGCTGTCTATGCAGTGTAACTGTGGTTCAATCTACTCAACAGACCAGAGGAGAGGGGAAATCGCCCTGGCCTCCCTGGTTAATTTTTTATAAAGGCTTAATTAAATACAGGCCTCTATCACCCTTGCAGGGATTTTCATTAAGTATTTGTCGTAAAACCGAGGAATAATGCAAGCCTGTGCCTTGATATTGCTTCCATCATCCATTTTCTCCTTCTTTTTTATCTGTCTGTTTTTGCCTATTCTCCCCATTCTGAATCTTCCTGAAGACAAATACACGGACAGTCAGTGGAAATATACTGCTGGATACTTTGGCGGTATCAATATTTCAGTTATAATAAAAAAGAAAAAAAAGGAAAATAAAAGTTTCATTGGTCCAGACTGTGAAAGTTATCCAATAAAAGTGAGCACACGCTTCCACCACTTGATATGTTTCCTCCAGACTAAACCTCCTCCTGAATTTCTAAATTAGAATCTCAGGAGAGAAATGCATGTGTGAAGTGTTGCCATCTTGTGTTCATTCAGTTCCACAAATGTTGGCACAACAAGTCCTGCAATTAAATCTAAAAAACAAACAAACCATGAAAGCAGTTTTATAATGACCTATGTCAGAATTCCTGAAACCACAGTGTTTACTCTTTATAAAATGTGACAAATAGGGGAAAAAATGGTAAGAAGGTAACATGGCAAAATCACACTCTCCATCTCTTGACTAAATGGATCTCTCTTAGCTCCCTTAACTCTTAACCCCTTTCTTGGCTGTCACTTGGGAACTCAAAGCTTCAGCTCCCTCCACAGATTTTGTATAGGATTGAGTTCTGGAGACTGGCCAGGCCACTCCATGACCTTAAAACTTCTTCATTGCACTTCTTCTTTTACCTCTCTTTCGTTGCCTGGCAGTATGCTTTGGGTCATTCTATTCTAGAAGACCAACTTTCATTGTTTTGTCTTAGGGAAGGAGATTCTCCTCCAAGATTTTACATTGCCCCATCACCTAACCCCTCAATGCAGTGAAGTTGTCCGGTAGGCTCATCTTGAAATGTTTCCACCTTGGTGGTGGAATGTGGTGATGATCCTCTGTGGGTCATACTTAGCGTTTTTCTTTCTTTAAATACACAAGGTCAAACTGATGGCAAACAGCTTGATTTTGGCTTCATCTGACCACAACACTTTCTCCAAAATATATTCTGAATCATTTAGATGCTCACTGGCAAACTTAAGACCAGCCTCTATATGTGCCTTCTTGAGCAGGGAGGAACTTGTGGGCGCTGCAAGATTTCAATCCGTCACCGATGGTGGTCTACTGATTGCTAAAAAGCTGTTTGTGTAGGCGATAACACAAGCCTACACAGTCCCTGCATGTATTTGTCCCAGTCATGGACAAAACATGCAGGGACAGTTTTGTCCCTGATGTCCTTTGACAGCTCTCTGGTCCATAGTATTGCAGAAGTTGGAATGAAAAACAAACAAACAAAAAAAACACGATTTATTTATTTATTGACTTTAACCCATGTGGTGCATGGTTGATATTTTGTCTTTTTATACTAAAATTAAACATAGAAACATAGAAATCATAAATTTCATTTCTTTGCAAGTGAGGGAACTTACAAATTCCGCAGATGATCAAATAATTATTTCCCTCACTGTATCTGGGATTGTTACGTACATTAGCTTAGAATGTTTCTTACAAGAGGACTTTGAAATGTCTAAAAGTGGCTAATATCAGAGTACATTATTTTACATGTGGACACGCTCTCAGAGTCTAGAATTAAAATCCAGTTTAAAATCAAACTTAGGCTTTACATTCTCTCAGTGTTCACTTCAGTCTAAATTCTCTGTCTGGTTAAGTTTAGGTAAAAATATTGCTTGGTTTGGTTTAGGTTTACTATGTCAAAAAGATTTTTAAAAGCATAATTTTTCTACATCAATTAGGTGCAGAGACTTATTTACATCACCAAGGTTGCTTAACCTCCTAAGACCCGAACTCTTCCACGGCATGCATTTTTAATTTCTCTTTGATATTTGGGCTGATTTGGGCCAGATGAATGTAAAAGCAAAGAATTACTGGATTTTTATTTATACCTGATTTTTGTTTCTAAGAAAAATAAGAGCCACATATGAGGACATTTGTTTAAAATTTCGATAGATCATAGGCAGTATAATGTCCTCGTAAGTCGATATCAGGCCCTTGTAGAGCAAAATTGAGTATTTGGGTCTAAATAACCCAAAATGAGATGTCCACATATGTGGATGCCAGGTCCTAGGAGGGGGAACCCTAGATGATTATAAGATGTTATAAAGAAGTCCTATGAGCTTTTTTTTCCTTTTTTCTTGCACACATAGACACGAACAAACATACACTCATGTGGGCACACACACACACACACACACACACACACACACACACATACATGGATCATCATTCTGGAGGAATGATGCAATTTCTCTCCCCTCAGGCTGGCTATACCCATCCTTCTGTCAGTCTATCCTCACTGGAGTGATTCAAGTTGGCAGCTTGAAAAACACACACACAGACACACACACATGCACTACGCTTAGCTAAGTTGTTCTCTGCAAACTAAAGGTCAGAGTCAGGATGTCACTCACAAAAAATAACCGGGGGTGCAAAAGTGCACAACAAATTTCAAAGAAGAAGATGGGAAAGACGCACATCCTGTACACCTGCTGAGCATGACATTATAGATGTTTTTTCCTAAAATCTTTAAACGATATTCCTGACACTTTTGGGGGGAAATAGATTCTCCACATTTGGACAAGGTGTGCTATTTCTTTTATTGGCTAGGTCACTGGTATAGACATTATCAAAAAATACTAATACACACCAAGAAAATAACATATATTTCAAATCAGTACTAAAGGAACTCTACTCTTTGATGTCATTGCTTCACTGTAGAAAGCTAATTATCAAACTGTGTAGCTTCCTTGTAGATTTTCACTAGTCCATACTAGCATATGGAAATCACACCGGTAGTCTAATTCCCTTCAATTAGTTAATATAAAGCTGATGAAGCTATGAGCATTTTGGACATACTGAGGACATAGCACAACAGAGAAGACTTTTATGCTGTGGAAAATGTAGGGTTTGTATCCCCCCCCCCATGGGCAGTGCACTTCTTTTCCACATTTCAATTCAATTGAATTCAGTTTTATTTAAATAGCACCAAATCACAACAACTGTTGCCTCAAGCTACTTTATATTGTAAGGAAAAGACCGTGCAATAATCAGACATCTCTATAAACTAGCATTTGGGGACAGTGAGAAGAAAAAGCAAG